ATATGTATATATGCACATTTCCGGAGAAAAAATTCGAAACTAATAGTATTTCCGCATTCACTTTATCAATTTGATGATGTTTTAATCATATGCTTTTACTCTGAAAATATACACTTGGTATTAAATGAAGGTAAAGAGTCAAATTCCGCATAGGTTTTTATTAATTTAGAAATTAATTTAGAGAGGTGAGCAACACTCTAGTAAACTTTTTTCGGAATTCTATCGTTATTTTAAAAGTTCTAAAACTCGTTAGTATCTATAATATATTGCTGCTAACTGTATAATTTGTTATTTTTCAAGTTATGAAGCATATTGGTTAGCATCAAGCTGTTTGAGGTGTGCTTCAAGTAGGATTTCGTGCTTCATAGAATCTATATCCAAAGATGCGACGTTATTCATCTTCCGAATGGTGTGTACTTTGAAGCCCGTTACACTATATGTAATATTTGATTAATTGTCCACATATGATGAATATAATTTTATAATCTGCACGAATGTCAAAATTTCTTATGTTTCCGCAGAACGGAAAAATTGTCATAATTGTGAAAGAGAAAGAACTTCAGTCATGTGAATTCCTGATCTACCATATAAACCATCATTTCTCTGCCGCTAGAAACAATTTATTTCGCTATCCTATTATCAGTAAAAGACTGAGTAGTCTCGAACTTGAATAAGTAAACATTAAACTGTATCCAAAGAACCGTTTATCCAACGGGAGTCTGCGCAATCCTTATCAGTTTTGACGCATAGTATACTGTCGTTGTAAAGCAAAAATAATAAAATATGCAAACAATGCATTTGGTAATTTCATTTATCAAGCGAAAAAAGGATGAACTTGTACCATATTGATTACGTAAAATTCTTATCTCATAACAAGTTTAAAAATATTAATTTTTGCCCTTCATGGGCCAATATTATACTTTTTTCTATTTTACGGTTACCAAATATATTGAACCATTATTTTTTTGACTGAACCATCATTCTTTAATTTGTAGTCTTTCTTCCAGTATTTCATGATTGTTGAAGTTTTTCGAGATTCTAAAACAAGGATCAGTATTCAAAAAACCTTGATTGCTGCGGATACTTCCCAGTGTTCTGAAACTGACTTTACACTTCGTAGATTAGAAGAGTGTTTGCTATTACATTTTGTGGATTGTTCACTGATTGATTTAGCATTTTCAATACTTGTATTTCAGATTAACAACACTGTGTTTCTACCAAATTATTCACGAATTTGCAACCAGTAGTCGTTAATGGTATAAAATAGAATGGCGATAAAATGTTTACAATTGTCGATGAAACAGTTACTCTTGCTTCTTGCAGTTGCAACTTGTTCGTATTTGATCATTGGCAAATCAGTCATGCCAACAAGGTTTGCTTCTATATTGTTTCTGAATAGTGGGAACGATCTGTGTTAATATACCAGTTTTGATTGAATTGTGCATGTTTATGTGTTACATGCTGATACATATATTTATATGCACATGTGTTTATATTCATGTTTCGTGTATGTTGCCTATTTGCCCATTTGCGCAGATCTTCAAATTTCAGTTTTAGTATTTCATTTTATTAAGCAGATATAATGATGTAAGAGATGTAATGAAAGTACGTCTTGTATGTTATTGGTGTTAATATGATAAGTCTGCAAGTCAAGAAGATTGTTGTAGATATGTTAAATCAGTGAATGATATTTCAGTGGTCTTTTAGGTTGAAAACTACAAAACCACGTGATATTTTAAGTATTAAACAGCAGCAACAGCAGCAGCATCAACAAAATACGGTCAACAAAAAATCGCCAATTATTTCTAATGAAAAAACCAAAGGAGACGAAGAAAGTGTTCTTGAGCTTGTTAAAAACGATCATGAAATAGTATTAGAACGAATAAGGTTCGCTTATTTTGAGTGTTTATTTCTCTTAACATTGCTAGTTTTTTTGTTATAAATTTTTTCTTTCTCGGACTTGCTCTTATTGTTTCATTTTTTTTTTTCAGTTTGGTGTGTTTCGCCATAAATTTCTTTCTTGGCCTTCCGTTGTTTAATTGTTTAGGTTAAATCCTCCCCTTTTTTTTCTTCTGTATCGTGACATATAAGTGTCATTGGATGGTTGCCATCATGAAATGCAGGGAGTATCAATTTTTCATTTTCACTTTAGAGTTTTTTTTTTTTCAGATTACCAGATATTATTGATATGCAACGGAATGGAACATCAGCCACTGTGATTGTCGATATGGGGGATAAGCCACTTGCAGAAGACATCCCGTTATTTGACGAACTTAAAAGCCGCTTGTTAAAGAACAGGTCAAATGACCTGAAAAAGATTTGTTCAGAATCGGAAGACAACAGAAAATTGAGTAAGTTACAAAAAAGAAATGACTCTTTAGATGAGCACACAAGATCAGCAAATTAATTAGCGAGTTTGTTTTTTTGCTTAATATGGATTTTGTAAGCATGATTCCAATCTTGTATTGATAAGCTTATAACTGAACTATACAGCTGTAACATTGTTTTTTTTCTTTTTTTAATATGAAATTTGGTTCATAGCCAAACTTAATATGCCATCGTTTCAGTTGGACAATTGCCACAAGCAGTGCTTTTAATAACAAACTTGAAAGAAGCTGAGGTACAGAAACATTATCCATATTTAGAACCTGGCGGACATTGGAAACCAGAAGATTGCACTACAGAACATAAAGTGAGTTAATCAAGTGAGAAGTCTAAATTTGAACATGTGCGAAACACCTAATGCATTCATTTTTGTTTTGAATTATTTAGGTTTCACTTTTGAGTGACTTTCTGCTAAATATAAATGATTTTAATACTGAATGGAGAGCTAAGTAAGTATTAATTCATCTAAAAATTTTAGCTTGATATATTTGTTTTGTGCTCGAACAGAAATCATCAATTCTTATGGTAGAGCAAAACTGTTCTTTGCCCATACTTCTGGAGAATTCCTCAAAACATCCTTTTTTTCAGTTGGCTGTGATAATTCCATTTCGAGATCGTCAAACACATTTGACACGTCTTATCGATTTTCTTATTCCAGTCCTTAAAAGACAGCAGTTGGATTTCCGATTCATTGTAACAGAGCAGGTATGAGAAGCAATAACAGCTAGCACAAATTTGCATCCAGTCTTTAAAATTTTAAGATATGCCTGAAGACATTGTCATAGATTTTTTCATTTTTTAGGTTCATAAAGCTATCTGTTCTATGTTAACGAAGGAGTCATTGAACGTTATTGAATTTCGTCTATCATATTTCATGTAATTTGACTAGCAAACAAGATTTTTATTTGTTAACTGAAATGTAATTCTGATATTTGTAAATGAGTTAGCTTTTCAGTATGGTAATGATCTGTTTAACAAAGGCCGAATAATGAATGCAGCATTTCGCTTAGCTGAACGTCTCAATGTCAGCTGTGTTATATTTCATGATGTTGATATGTTCCCGCAGGACGATCGTAATTTCTACGGTTGTCCACCAACACCACGGCATATTGGTGCTTTTGTTAGTAATCTTGGATATCAGTAAGTTGTCGTTTTCGAGTTATTTTTTTAATCACTTTGGCCTATTCCAATTCATTCTTCAAAAATTATATTCTACAGTTTTGTCTGAATTGTCAGTTTAATGCCTAATATTTTTACTTATAGTTTATTAAAATCATTACAAGACGTTCGATTTCAAAGCAGCGCTTAAAGATATTTCAAAATCAAAATTGATCATCGATCGTTCTATTTTTTAAAGTTCTGTTTAACTTACTACAATTATTTCCGTAAGCAGTGGTTGTTAATGTTTTCTTATTCACTTTTTGGTGTTTTCCGTTCCGAAGAACACTAGCATTAGATTTATTGTGGCAAAAAAAAAATCATTTGTAGATTAAGATTCAAATATATTAGCTTTAAGACCATATAACTATTATACGTCAAAGCTTACAATGCATAACTTCTTGAAAAGCACCTAGAGAAAATTATAATTCGATATGGCAAAAAATTATTTGTAGATTATGGTATAAAGAAATAGTTGGTGGCGTTTTAGCAATTAGTATGGATGATTACCGAACAGTAAATGGTTATTCGAATATGTACTGGGGCTGGGGTGGTGAAGACGATGATATGGGTTAGTTTACGAGTTTTCTGTTTTATTACCAATTCTTGTATTTTCAAGATAGCTTATGGATTTGATTTGGCAACAGCATTCATAGCGGTTGTCGTTGTTGGAAGTCTCTTTCTTTCAAGTGATTGTTGTTTGACTGTTTCGATGTGCAGCTACATTGCAAAAGAGCGTGTTGTGACAAAAGCAGATGATGTATATGTGTTTATCCATCAGAGATAGTCGTAAAATTCGATCGAAATATGTGGGAATAAAAGAAATCGTGTTACGTATTTCAATTTACTTTGGTCTACTGTGTTGCAGGGAAACGAATAATGGCAGAAAATCTAACTATTGAAAGGCCTGATGTTACCACAGGTCGATTTACTATGCTCAAACATGTGAAGAGGAAACGAGTTGCACCAAAATTAATGTACGTTTCTATATTATTATCATTTTTCCATCAATCATAATATTTTTTTTATTCACTTGAAATTGTAAAAGTTCAGAATGAAATTCAGCGGTTTCTGTTGTAGTTCGACAGGAAACGATATAATTAGCGTTGCTTACTGACATAATACGGTTAGGTCATCATTTTAGTGTTATTTCAATGACGAAAACAGTAACTATATTCAATCAAGCAAAATTCGATCTTTTTTTTAGACATAAATTATTAGATGAAGCTGAAACACGCTATCGAATTGATGGCCTGAATGTTACTTCATGGAAAATATTAAAGGTTTGTTTTCGAAGATTCAAGTGAGTTCGGATTTCTCCGTTGTTTTGTACTGTTTAATTTTTCAAGTCGAAAGACGATTTTCATTTCGTAATTCCAAAAAAGTTGAAATATATTGTTATTCCTCTCTGTTTCGAGCTCTAATTTGAGTTTGATTTAGGGGTCAATTTTTAATTTTTCAGATTACACTACGACCCTTATATTATCACATATATGTTGATGTTGGCAAGCCGCCATCAGAATGGGTATGAAAGTTTTTGGTGCTCTATGATTAGGGAATTTCTTTCTACTTTGTGAACTTATGCGGTCTTGAAAAGACTTGATTCTGCTCATTTATGTGAAATTTCATTGTTATAAAAAACGCTGAGCGAAATCCAAAGATGAGCCAATGTTCTAACGAGTAGATGAAATAAATTTAATAAAGCCCTCCTGTGAAAGTAGATTCCCGTTAAGCTCTAAGAGGTTGACCTATTCTTTTTTTTTCAAAACAGTTCTTCAAAAAAATTATATGCTGAAAAAGTGTCTTTTTGTTTGTCGGATGAGCTTGTTATTGGATTTTCATCAAACTCAAATCTTCGCGTTTTTCTGTTTCATTATATATACCTTCTTTCCACTGTTAATAACTTAGCCTGGCACTCCATCTTCTGAACGATTCACCATTACGATCAATTTTGCTGGGAACATTGCATTTTCTGATTGTTTCACATATTTCATGGTACGATTTCATACAATTTTCTGTTTGTGCAATTTGTTTAAATTATATAGCTATTTGTGAATGATCTAAAAACTTTCTCTAGAATTATATATATGTTTCAAGCATGATAGTATGGCATGTGTAAGAATCAAATTTTAATCATTTCAATGTACGCATAATACTATTCCTTTCAGAGAGAGAAAGAGAGAGAGAGAGAGAGTCAGTTTTGCTATTCCTTCTGCGATATATACTGTAAGACATGGTGTAATATCTTTATTTTCTAACATGTGCAACTCGAAAATATAAAATCCCAGCTGTCGTCAACAACCCACACACATGAGGCGTTCTTAGGTGTGTCTCGTATTCACAATCAAAAGGTGTTCTAATTTTACAATGCCTTTGTTCTTGAATACTCAGTACAAGTTCGGATTTTGTTGCAGGCGGAGGGCCATCCTGATTCCTTACCAATATTTTTACCATTTATTGCTGTTTATTGTAACCCCATAACACCGTGAACTACGTATTATTTTCGAATTTTTGCTCCTTCCAAATTTATGCTTGATCTCAAGTCCATAATTATTGCCCTTATCGTTAGATCTTTTCGATTTAATTTTTCAGTAAATCCTACAATATTTACCTTTCAGCTTCATTTCTATCACTTTGCAAATGATATTTATTTGTTGGACGAGGTATACAAAATGAAGTAGCTAATGTTTTAGAAGATATATCTTACTTCATTATTCAGCTTCCCTCTTGTTAAATCCTTTACGTCTCCGTTGTTAATGACACACGATTATATTATCAAACACTTCACTTCCACATGGCCTAGAAATCAGGAGGTTGTGTACTGTTTGTCAATACTAAACCATGTATTTACCCAATATCAAATTTAATCCTTCTCTTCGTAAATATAAGTTAAGTAACATTTTTTATCATTATAATTCTGTAATATTGTAAACAATATACCATATTGTAATTTTATGTTAATGATAGCAGATGCTATTCTGGGTGGGATAAAAGGGAGAAATAACGGTAAAACAAAAAAAAAACATTTGCTATTTCTGTACCAATGATTGATTTTTTTTTATTCAGCGCAAAGCAGATTTTTTATTTTCTTTATTATTACTCTTTTTGTTCTATTAATATTTACATTTATTTGTATTCATAGTTGTATTCATACTGGTGCTGTTAGAATTTGGAAATATTTCTCAGTCTATCAGGTTTCAATGTTTCCCCTTTCATGTCTCTCATGCTTTGCTATAATGAGGAAATTATGTTGAACGCATAGAAATACTCCATTGTTTTACTTCAATTCGCATTTTCCATCGTTTTAGTTACTATATTTATGTACTTTAAGCAGGTGTATTCGAAGTTATTTCTGACGAAAAATGCAACTGTAGAAAATCTGAATTCTGCGTATAATTTTTGTGCATGAAATTATGCATAAAAAAGTTCGTCTACAGATTCCTCATGGTCTAGCTTCCTTTTTTTTGTATAAAATTTTGCATTGAACATGTCCTTGAAAATATTAATCACCTTTGTTTTCTTTAAAATTGTTCACATTTTGTTAAAAGCTCAACTTTCCAAACACAGTCAGAAACAGACTCAGGTTAAGCATTTGTGTGATTGCTGCTTCATCTCTCGTTCCAGGTAATGTTGATTTTCAATCAGGTAATCATCATCATCTGTTAAGTGATTTTTCTTTTTTGTTTTCATGAGTATTAAATTCAGAATTAATTTCATACCAGTAACGAAACATATGCCATTTTCGTCGTGAAACCTGTGTGTTTCTGCTTGGTTCTGCTCTGCATGTTACACTCTTTATTATCATACCCCTTTTTTTAAGAGTTTGATTTTCCTGTTACATTTCGTAATATTATTCCAAAATTTGTTGAGTTGCATTATATTTGGAGCTTGTTGAATATGTTTGTAAGCATGAAGGCATTTGAAGCTATTGTTTTATTTATTGTTCCATGTTAGTGTTTATAAATTAATGTAAAATAAAGCCACAGCGATAAGATTTTGCTTCCTTTGCATTAAATAAGAAAGAAATTTTAAAAATTCTCAAATTTATCACCCAACAATTCACGTCTTTCATGTCCAATATTACAATCATGATGGTAACAGAATCAAAAAAGATGATTTGATTAATGGTAACTCTTCATGCTAAATGATGAGCATTGAAATGATGCTGAGTTGTTTGCAGGGTTACTTTACTTATTCAGCTGCTTTTTTTCAGGTCATATTAATAATCAGTTCGTGTCAAATGTTAAAAATAATCTAACTAATTAGCTTTCGCAATTTTTCGAGTGTTATGCAAATTTTTCTTTTTTTTGGAAATTTTGATATTTTTATTGGCAGATGAGTCATTGATATGTAAAATAAGATGGCAGTACAACTTCCACATAGACGGTGTTGTCGACGAAATAATATTTTAGCTGTGATTGTGATCGATTGTACGTTGTTGTTCACTTATTTTGCCTGCAAATATGCGTATGTTTTGTAATTAAATTAAGAAGAATTTCATTTTGAAGTTTCCCCCCCTTAAATATGTTAAATGATCAAAAGTTAAATGATAAATGATATTTGCTATCATATATAGTACTATTATTTGCAAAAAATGTGCAATTGCCGCAAAGATAGCAGCAATATGATAAGTAAGAAATTGTGCTAGAACAAAAAGTGAAGAATTTCAGTTCATTTATTTAAATAAAAAGTAATGATGGTAAGTATTGAGATGATCATATTTGCAATGCTTGAGGTTAAAGTTCACGGATTATGCATATGATAGTCATTATGACATTAATTTACCAGTCAGTAATATGAAGGTTAATTAAAGAAAAAAATTTGTTCCATTTTTAGTGGAACAAATTTCTTTCTTTGAATTTTCTTTTTTTGTTTCCTTTCTTTTTTTGTGCCATTGAATTTGGTCTTTTAGAAAAGAACAAAAAAAGGTTGAAAATTTTCCAAAATAAGCAACAATTTTGCAACGACCAATGAAAAATGAATTGAATAAAAACCATTAAATAAAATTGTACGACAAGTTAAAACAAAAGACGTCTTTTAAATTTACGAAATTTTGCTTATTTTTTAAGTTTAAAAATTTTCATAGAATCGATAGATACAAAAACTCTTCTAGAAAACAAGAATTCCCATAATTTGAGGTTCTTATTTAATAAAATCTGCCAAAATTTATTACCGAATCTTTTAGCAAAATAAAAAATGATTACAAAGTACATACGGAGGAAGAAGTGTTAAAAAGAGAAATGAATAATGAAACCATAAAAATGGTTCAAGGTGAATTCAAAAATCAAACACTGCCGATGTTTTGGTAAGCTCAAAAAATGAAAAAAAAGAAAACTATTAAATAAATAAAAATAAATAAAAAATAAAACAAAAACTTAAAATATGAAATAGTTATATTTAAAAAAAAAAAACTATTCCATTATTTTGAAGTACTTGTGAAATTATGAAAATATTAGTTTAAAATGAAAAAGAAATTCATTATCAAAATATCATTATTATAATATCATATTATTGATAATAACGATAATTTTATATTTACACGAACTATTTATTGTTTTCATGTTAATGAAG